GCATGAAAGAAATAAATGAATAAACATTAAAAATAATCCCTTTTCTACTGCCAGTCACTTAAATAGTCCAGGCCACCTGACACTCTCTCTCTCATTCTCTGTCTCTCACTCTCTGTCACTTTCGTTCTTCCCGTTCCAGCAGTCCTTTCCCATAGGTCTCTCTTCTTGCCTGGCTCATAATTCCTGAGAGAGGCAAGACAGAGGCCATCAGAAATCAAGGCTAGGGCAACCTGGAAGACAGGCCCATTGAAACGCAGCTGCTGCTCACACCCAACACTTGCTTCTCTCTAGGGAACCCAGCCAGCGGCCCCTTGTACCTGGTAGATGCCAAACAGATTATGTTCTGTGTGTTGGAAGAAGCCGATGCTGGTGCGGTACCTCAGCAGGGAGCTGTTCCTCCAGTGCTGCAGGGGGCAGTTGTTGGGCACGTGCCAGATGCCCAGGTCCAGGGCCTGGATGTCGTAGTAGCCAGGGTTCTGCAAAGCAACACACACTGAGCTTGGTAAGCCAGGAGACCCATGAGGCCAAAGGCCTCAGCCAGGATAGACAGTCAGAGCACTCAGACACCCCCTTCCAGCAGATGACAATTCCCTGTCAGTACCTGGGTCCCTGATGGCTGGGAAGGAGGAAGTCAGGACCCAAGACACATTAGTATTTCTCTCTTCTTCCCCAGCCCTACCTTGAAGCCCACTTGCCAACCCTCCCTCATGTTAGGCAAATGTGGTACCTACACTGCAGAAGTCCCCTTTCCTCCTCACCCATTCCCAGCTGGGTGGGAAGTGGCACCTACCTTGTAGTCATCACTTGTGGCCGTCTCTGCAGACCCAAAGGTGTTGTAATTGGCCCAATTTCCATCCCCCTCAGGGTAGTCTGCTCTGCTGCCCTGCTGACTGGACCAGCGGTCACCCACCGTGCACTTCCCGGCCATGAAGTTCTCGTGCACACTGGCCACCAGGGTCCAGCCGCCGCCCGCAGTGGTCATGTCACAGAAGGTCTGGTAGACAACACCGTTCTCAGTGCGGAGGAAATACAGGCCATCTGTGGAGAGAGCCAGCCCAGAGCCTCCCTGTCTGAGAGCACACAGTCCACCTCAGCCCCATGGCCCACTGGGCTATTAGAACCAGAATCGTGGCCTGAACGCTGCTCCTCACCTGAGTCCTGTCACTAAATATCTCTAGAGGCACTAGAGTCTCCAGAGTTCAGATGATCACGACCCTCTCGCTAAGACAAAACTTAGAATTGACAACCTTCCTGGTGATATTTCTCGTAAACAGAATCATCACATGACCCAGGAATTCCACTTCGAGGTACATTCCATGAAGAACTGGAGCCAGAGAGACCCTTGTGCAGTAATGCCCACTGCACCATGAGACACAAGAGCCAGAAGGTGGAAACAGGCAAGAATTCCTCAACAGACACATGGGTAAATAAAACGTGTGGTGTACGTCTGATCGATAGAAAGGAGTGAAACCACAACATATGTAAGGGATGGGTAAACCTTGAAAGCATTACATTAAGTGACATAAACCAGACACAGAGGACAAATTCCATAAGAGTCTATTTATATTAGTTCACTAGAACAGGCAGATCCCAGGGACAGAAAGTGAAATAGCCACTCTCAGGGAGGTAGTGGAGGAGTCCAACCCAGTGGGGCTCCAGGACCCGTCTGAGCCCTTTGACCTTTGAGCATCGCTTCCGGTCGGTTCAGTAAGTTGGCAAGGCCACTACTGTATGCCCCCTGACCTTGGAACAAGCTTGGGTCACTTAGCATGTTGGCAAGGCCACTTGCTATTCGCTCTGGGACTGTGATAGCCTTGCTGGGAAGTGACCCCCTTCTGACTCCCCGATATACTACTATAAAAGAATTACATAGCTCCCTCATACATCTTGAGTGTGTGGTAAGATTTCCTGAAAAGTCCCCCGACCACTCCCCTTTACCCTGACCACTTACTGTTAATTACAACGCTTCATTGGGCACAATAAAGGGTGTGCTAAAGTTCTTCCTGATCTTTGGAAGGCCCTTCAAGACACATTTAACATAAATAATCTTTTCATGTATCCCCGCCCTCATCAAGTGAACACTAACTTCACCCCTTCAGGATAGGTAAATATATTAGGATTCCTTAAGTTTTAGATCCCTATAGAATTATATAAGTATCATTCTTTATGAAAATCCATAAGAACTAATATCTATGCTTGAGATTTTCTTTTAGTAATCATAAGACGGCTGCTGCTGAACATCGGTTGATAGTTAACTCTGCTTGCTGGAACTGTTTCCTGAAACTGCACTGCTTGAAGTTACCAGGAACCTGCTTTCATCAATCAAACAATTGTTGAGCTGTATCGATGATTAATAGACCTGCCCTTAATCAAACTCTGAATGGTTTCTATTGTTAAAACTTTATGAATTGATAATTAGTACACGTAGCCCCTCTCCCATTTACTTGCATGTATCACATTTTCAATAAAAAGGCACAATGATTCCTAACAGTTGTCACTCCTCAGAGAGCGATCTCTGAGAGTGTCCGGCTGAGGACGTGCATGAAAAGGCACGAGGCCTTAATCTTCCTTTCTTTCCAGTGTCGCTTCCGTCGAGTCAACCCACCCCCCCACTGAGGCTGGTCCCCGGCAAGGTAGTATATGGCGTCTTCATATAATTGGTACAGAGTTCCTGCTTGTACCAGGAGGGCGACTTGGAGGTGACTTGGAGGTGAAGGTGGCTGGATCCCCCAAGAACAGTTGTGTGATTCAAGTTCCCAGCCTGGCTGTTTAAAAATCACACCAGGTGTGTGCATGTACATACTGAAAATCCTGAGAAAAGTATGGAGGAACAGGGATTGTGGTGTGGCCCATTTCCCCTATGGATGATTTCTCACTTTCACTCTGTCTCTCTGTAGCACACTAAAAAGAAGAAGAGAAAGAGGAAGAGGAAGGAGAAGAAGGAGAAGAAGGAGGAGGAGGAGAAGAAGAAAATCAAAGGAAAGCAAAGCTCTGGAAAAGGATACTGGTAACGTTATCCCACATTGTGAAAATAATGAATGGCACTGAATTATGCACTTAAAAGTGGTTAAAATGACAACTTTTAGCCAACATGTAATATATGTACATTTTACCACTTTTATTTTTCATGCTTTTGCCATAGGGTGCATGCACTCCCGAGAGAGACAGAAAGAGGGAAAGGGAAAAATCAGCCCCCCAAGGGTAATGGCCATACCACATTCCCTTCTCCATTCTTCTCAGGGATTTTGGGTATGCATGCACAATTGCCTGGCATGATTTTCTTTTCTTTTTTAGCACATACTCTTACATTTTTATTATATTAATTATAGATTTTCTTTAAACGTAATTTTGGGGACCAGCAGTTAGTGTAATGGCTATGTCGCTGGACTCCCATGTAGTTGACCACAGTTCAAGTCCCAGACCTGGTGGCTTAAACTCACGCCGGGCACGTGTGCATGCATGCCCAGGATACCGAGAGGAGAATGAAAGAGAAGGGATTGTGGCATGGCCACCCCCCTGGTGGGTGATTTCTCGCTTTCTGTCTCTCTGTCTCTCTCTGGCTTTCTGGCGAGTACACACGCCCTATAGTTAAAAAAATCTTCTCCCCCAAAAAAGAAAAAAATAGTATAAGAAAAACAAACAAACAAAAAGCCATAATTTTGTGTTCCCTACTTTTATTTTCAATTTTAATGTATTTTTTTATCTTTTTTTCTAATTTGGAGGTTTCACTTATATTCCTGAGGATTTTTGCTGGCCTGCTCACATTCCAGATAGAGGATCTATATGCTAATTGGAGGTTCTATGGGGGAGAGGAGTTGGGTGGAAGGTAATTATAGGGACAAAAGTGGAGATGAATTTAAAGTGAGGGGAAGGTTTGTTAACTTGAAGTTTTACTACCACGGGGTGAAAAGAGAAGGACCTGACTGTTCAATCTCTATTTTTTTTCCCCAGAGGAATTTTTGCTATAGGGCTTGTGCGTTCACCAGAAAGAAAGAGAGAAACCCCAGAGGGGATCAACCTGGAGTGACTTTCAAGGTGCCAAGTCCAAGACTCAAACCGTGGTCAACAATGTGGCAAACCAATGTTTTAGCCACCATGCCACCTTCACCACATGTTTTTAATCTAAAAATAACTCTCCAAGAAGACAAAAACCGAATTGCCTGCCTGGGCTCTGCTGAAAAAAAAAAACTCACCGCGGGCACTGCGGCACCTGTCTTTGATTTCCTTGCAGCTTCTGGGCTTAGATGAGGACAGGGATGAGCAGGTCCATTTCTTGGGAGCAGAACTGTCCTCATCTGAAAAAGATGCAATGTTTTAGTCTCATCACAGATGTGACACAAAACCCCGCCTCTTCTTGTCATTTTCTTAAACTCCTTTTGCCTGTACCACCACCACAGCAGAGCCTCACTGCCCGGGTTGTAGGGTCCTAAGATAGTTAATATCATGTGTTCACTCAGCCATCTAGCCCAGCCTCCAGCACCAGTGTAATGCACACCTGCCTCCATACTAACTCATGCATGTGTTAGGCCCTGCCCCAAGCACTCAGGATTCAAAGGAATTAAAATCCCCACAAAAGCTTACCTTGAGAAGGAGTTGCTGATGAGCCAACAAGATTATATTGAGAAGAAAAAAATGATAAAGGAAAGATAACCTCAGAGGACAAAAGAAGGATTCTGAACACAAAACAGACTAGGCTACTCCATGACAATCCCAAGGCCAAGACTGCAGGAGCAGGGAGTGACTGGGAGAGGGCACAGGTTTTTACAGGAGCCCCTGAGACTCATGGACACAGAGCCTGGAGCTGAGAGTTGAGCACTCAGCTTACATCCAGTGACCTCAGTACCTTGCAAAGACATCCCCTTTAGCTCAGGAGAGACCATGATTCCAGAAACGAGCTGGCAGTCCTGTTCTGGAGCACCCCTAGGTGGGCTGTGGGCGCTGCTGCTCCTAAGGGCATGACTCACCTGCGCTGAACCCTTTGGTGGCCACAATGAGAAACAGCAGAAGGCTCAGTTGGAACATTGTAATCTAAAGAAAAGTAAGAAGGTTACCATCTTCATGACTTTTAACTTCACATCCCTGCCCTTCCCCTGCTCAGTCCTACAAAGACTGAAAGACTCCCTTGCCTCATTTTTTAATTGCCAGAGGGCACTCGCACTCATCAGAGAGAGAGAGCAAGGGAGTAGAGAAATAGAGAACAGGGCATGTTCACGCTGCAATCCTTTTCCTCCATTTCTCCATCTTCTCAGGATTTAGAGCACACATGCATACACACACACACACACACACACACACACACACACAATGTGTATTTCAAGGCACAGGGGCCAGGATTCAAACTATGGTCAGGTCTGTGGAATCCAGCTCCCAACAGACAGGGCTTAGCCACTTCATTTTGAGTCCACTCCTGTTGCCTTTTGGTTTTTTTGGTTTTATTCTTGTTTTATCTTTATCCCACACATCTCTGGGACCAAAACTGAACCTGAGCTGAAATCGGGGCTCCCCACTCACAGACCTGCAGCACTTCTGTCCAGCACGGGTTCTCTCCCTCCACCCAGGCCTGGGTGCAGACTAGAGGTCTCCTCTACAGAGACTCCTGATTAGGGGTGAGCCACTGAGCCTTTTATGGAGATAGCCCAGAGGGATCCTGCCCAAACTTCCAACCGCACCCTCCCTGGGCACAATGCCCAGTGGAGGTGAGGCTTCTAGTTACTCAGGGCAGGTTCTTTGCACAGTGATAACCCATGGAATTAACAGGCTATAAAGGCAGTTGTAAAGGTCATCTCCTATACGCTTCCCAGATTTGGGACTTTCACGAACCTGTGTGTTTTCCAGAAAGAAAATAGATAAGGAGACTAACAAGGGGTGGCGTTGGCTTTGTTTTTTTTGTTTATGCCTTTTTTTCCTGCAAAGTAAAAACTATTTTAAAAGTTGAACACTTATTATTATCATCAGTTCATAGAGAAAAATGAATTTTAACAACAAATAGGAAAGCCATTCTTTCAAAATAAAGATAAATTATTAGGATAAATTTAGTTTCATACAGACTCATACATTGGCTTTAACTTTCTCATTTTGCCATAAAGTAGTGAAATGTTATTACAGGCTACATTTGGGGGAATAAATCACTATAACCTTCCCCCTTTATGCTTCAGATGTCTTACATCATTCCTCTCCACTGGTGCTCAAATCTTCCCCCTTCGCTAAAACAGAATTGGTCAGTTGCTCCTCAGTGACATCATGTACCTAATATAGAACTTCATCTATATAGCACTATAATATTGTAACTCTTTTTTAAATATCTTCAGTGAGAGATAGAGGAAAAGAGAGAAAGTCACCCCCAACAGAGTCATTGCACCCCAATCAAACTCCAGTCTCAGTCAGTTGGGATTACTGGAACTAACATGTCTAGTACGTACAAGGAGGCTTCAGGACACCAACCCAGGACTTTCCCTATGGCTACAGTTGTGTTACACAGCACCACTGCCTGGCCGCTAATAGCATGCATCTCAAGGGGAAAAAATGTGAATTTCCTTTTTGCTGAGTTAATATTTTTTATCTTTGCATGTTCAAAGTATTGGTTTACACAAAATACTCATATATTAACCAAAGAAAATAAAAGAAGACCCAGGTAAAAAGCACCAAAAAATATATATATACACTTATTTTAGTACTTTCTTTTATTTTTTTAAACCCAGTCTCTAGTCCCTCTCTTTACAGATCACTATCGAGGTAATCTTTTTTTTTTTTTTTCTTTAATTGCTAGAGAGTGCATGCACTCAGCAGAAACAGAGATGGAAAATACCCCATAGGGTATAGTAACACTCCAGTTCTTTTTCATCCTCTTCTCCTTCCCAACAGGATTTTGGGCATGTATGTACATACACCAGTATATTTCTCAAGCCTCCAGGGCTGGTATTCACACCTGTCAGTCATGTGTGATCCAGGTCCCAAGGCCTAGCACTTAACTGTTGTGCTATGGGGCCAGCCCTTAGAACTTTATTTTTTTGTTCTAAGACAGTCTTTTTTAATAATTTGGATCATATGTATATAATGATATTAAAGATCCAAATATATATATTTATATTTATATATTATATGTATGTATAACTTGAAGTTGAAGTAGAGCTTCACTGAACATCACAAGTTATTCAACTTACAAAGTTAAGTGGAACAATCAAGTTTGTGTTAGTTCTTTCTTATCATTTCGTAGGAAGAGGGTTTCTGTAATTGTAGTGTGCTTTGAAAGTGTAGTTCATTCGTAGGCCCAAAACTCAACTTGCAGCTACTGCAAAGTATGTTAGGTGTGAAAATCAACTCCATGAGTGGAGTCATTCTGCCAAAGATCTTTCTGATATTCCAAAGAATATGCCAGATTTAGGCTGAAAAACTACACCTAACAGGTATATAAATCATGAAACAACCAGTAAATGATGCCATCTAAGAGTTTGGGGGAAATGGGAGATAGACATTGTTGCAATGGTAAACTGTGACACTCTGCAAAGCTGATCCACATGTGAAGGTTCCAGGTTCACATCCAGAGACCTTCCTGCATATACCAGGCACGTGTGTGCCCAAGGTCCAGGGCTGCCTGAAGCTGGGATGGATCATGGTTTCAAGAGCTACTTAGAGGCTCTCTCCCTCTCTCTCTCTGGCTTTCTCTCTCTCTCTCTCTCTCTCTCTCTCTCTCTCTCTCTCTCTCTGAAGAAGTAATTGAATAAATTTAATAGAGTCCAGGAAATAGTAGCCCTATTTTGGGGAATTGGAACTTTCTAGACACTGTCATCCAGTCAGTGGTGTCCATCAGTACTACCTCCTACTTCCTCTTGAACCCGTTCCCTGCACCACTTCCTCCAAATCCCTCTAATAAATACCAATACACAACCAACATTCCAGGCATTGTCAATACAAGGGAGAAGACAGATCATCTCTTCCTGTGACTTCTTTTTAGAAGAGAGCAAGCTTTTCCCAGAAATCTCAGCAAACTTTTCTTCATGTCTCATAACCAGGGATGGGTCAGAGGCTGTATCAGTCTGCTAGGGCTACACTAACAGAATTTCACCAACTGGGTCGCTTAAACAGCACAAAGATATTTTCTCACACTTCTGGAATTGACAAAGCCAAGATTAACATGTTAATGGGTCTGGTTTCCTCTGAGGCCTCTCTCCTAGGCTTACAGATGGCTGCTTTCTCTCTGTGGCCTCACATGGTCTTTTCTTTGCATATCTGTACTCTATCATCTCTGCCCGTGCCTGAATTTCCTCTTTTTTTTTAATTTCCTCTTCTTAAAAGTATACCAGTTACATCAGATCACAACCCACCCTAATTATCTCTTTTTTTTTTTTTGAGATGTTTTCGCTATAGGGCGCGTGCGCTCGCCAGACAGACAGAAAGATAGACAGAAAGTGAGAAATCACCCCCCAGGGGGGATGGTCACACTGCAATCCCTTCTCCTCCATTCTCCTCTTGGGATCTTGGGCACGCACGCACACACACCCAGCGTGAGTTTTAAGCCACCGAGTCCAGGATGCAAACCGCGGTCGACTACGTGGGAGTCCAGCGACATAGCCATTACACTAACTGCTGGTTCCCCTAATGATCTCATTTTAACTTAAGTATTTCTTTAAAGATCTTATCTGAAAATGGTCGCATTCTGATGTTCTGAGTGTTAGAATTTCAACATAAAAATCAGGGGTGAATGCAATTCATCACATAATACATGCCCACTCCTGCATCAATTTCTGGCAAAAAGATGGAACTATCCAAATTGCCTTAAACTCACCTGGGTCTGGCACTGATGTTCATGAGTCATATGACAGGCCCTCATCTGGACTCCACCTGAAATCACCATTTGATCATTTCTAACCCTCTACTCCATCTAGTACTGGCCTGCTCCAATGCCTTTCCACACTGCTGCCCACAAGGACCCTTAGAAAACACAAACCATGCCCATGTCCACATCCTCGTCCAACATGGGCTAGAGAACCAAGTTCCATGTTTATACCATAGAGCTTGTGTCAGTTATCAGCTGCTGCACAAACCACTCCAAAACAACAATGATCCTCCCTTCACTTACGAGGATGCAGTCTGAGCAGAGAACAGTGGGGATGGCTTGTTTCTGTTGCATATAATGTCAACTGAGACTTTTAATCTCTCTTCTTGTCTTCAGTCACTTATAGAGAGACTGTCAGGATGGGATTTTAGAGCTGGACCACTCATGTGCCTGAGAACAATAGAGACCCATTGCTGGTGGTCAGTGGGACTATGGGAATGTCCGGGACTTGCTCTCTCTCTCTGTCTTCCTCTTACACCATTTGAGCCTAATATGTATTTTATGTCAACTTCCGTGATCATTGAACTTCCAAGCAGGGAGAGGAGTTAAGGGATTAACTATAAGCCAGCTGCAATGGTGCAGAGGTAATGCAAAGCTATGCAATGCAGAAGCCATACAGAAAATCCCCTGTTTGATATCCTGAGATCTCCTTGTACACTAGGATAGGCAAGTCCATGATCCTAGCTGGTGAAACTGAGACTGGATCATGTCTTATTGGTGTACCTCTTTCTTTTCTCTCCTTCTCTATCTCGGTCTCTCATGAAAAGAAAGAAAAAAGCTTAAAAATAGAGAGAAAAACTGTAGAACCAGCAGGGAATACTATGGCATTGACAGTGAAGAAGAAAAGGGGCAAAGTGAGAGAAATGTCAGGAGGGAGCAACTGAAGCAGCTGAACCTTCCTTGATCTACAGCCTACATTGGAGTGGAGGAAAGCAGAGCTTGAAGGGAGGTTGTGTGTAGGCATGCTGGAAGCTCTTAGGAGCAGGGGAAGTGTTGACGAGAATTTGAAGAAGGAACATGCAATTGCTTTTGACAGACCATTGCTTTTTATGATTTAGGTTCATCACCAGTGGCCTGTCCACGTCAAAATAACTTAAAATGAGGGGCTAGACAGTGACACAGCAGTGGAACATGGATCTCTGTGGTGCTCCCTCATGTAGAAGGCCCCAGGTGTGAGTCTAGAGAACTCCCTGAGTGCACTGACCACACTCATGCCCATGATCTAGGGCTGACTGAGGCTGGGAACACCCCTTGTTAGAGTTTGCTCTCTCTGTTTCTCTCTCAACCTTTCTTTCTCTTTTCATTTCTCTCACTGTTGAAGAAAATAGATGGATAAACTTTAAATCAAATCATTTAAAACTGTATCTGAAAATGTGCGGGTACTGAGAGAGAATTGTGGAAGAGGGCCCCTCCACCCCACCTCATTCAGCCCAGAGTCTACATCTTCAGGTGATTGGTGTACACTTAATCATTAAAAATAGAAAGAAAGTCTTATTGTTTAAAAATTAACACATATATGGAAAAGAATATAAGACTCGATTATAAAATTTAATGAATTACAAAAAGGTAAATACCTAGGTGATTACCAACATGGTCAAGAAACACATTTTTCCAGCTCCCCAGAAGCTTCCCATATGCTCCTTCCAGGATGTGACTACTCTCTGAAGGGTAATCACTAGTTTAACTATCACGGCAACCACTCCCTTATGCGCTTGCTATGCTTGTATGACTGCTGTAC